GCAGGGCTACTGCCGGAGCCAATCTGCTACTTGATATGGCCCTTGCAGTCTGCCCTCCTTTTTGAGAGGAGTCACTTCTCTGGAAGGGATTCGTTACTGGTTCTACCAGCCTTCATTTTTGCATGGATTTCTGGTAGGAAACCAGGTTCTGTGGAGGAAAGTATGACTGGTGTTCTTTCATTGCCTGACCCCCAGAACACTTTTCTTGACCTGTGGAGTCACAAGCTTGTAAATCTCACATAGAGAGTTTTCAGTGTTTGAAGGAGACAAAAAGTATGCTGCAGAGGTACAGCTCCCCGTCTGCAGATTTAGGGGCTTCCCCCCTCCCCTCCCCTGCCATTTTGCCTCCCTGCCCCCAGTCCACCTAGCAGAGCAGAATATGTGACTCATAGGAAGGCATTTGAAAAACTCATTTAATTTGTAGTGGGATGAAGTCCTGCCGAACATTTTCAAACAGTTATAAGAGCTGTGTCTCCCTCCCTCCCTTAGCATTTGAATTGTAAACTTAAGACACTTAGATTTGAGCCATTAGAATGGTCTTGTGATTAGGATATAGGACTGGGAGTCAGGAAATTAGTCCTTTTCCCTGTTCTGTTGCAGATTTCCTCTGTGAACTTTGGCAAATGTCTTAACTGTTCTGTGCCTCAGTTTCTTCATCTGTAAAATGGGGATAAGTGACTTCAGCAGGACATTGAAGCTTAAGTCACTATTTGTAAACTGCTTGGAGGAGCTTGGGTAGATGGTGTTAGAGACATGAAAATTATTCATTTTCATCATTCACTTTCCTTTGAAGGAAAATATTGTTCATTAAATCCTGGGTTAAGGGCGTTAGCACTCTCACCCTAAATTTTTTTTGTTAGAGTTGGATAAAAATGTTAAACTGTTGTCTAACATCTGTTTGCACATCAATTAGATCCATCCTCTGCACAATGTTTTCAGTTTCCTCTGGCTTCTTAATCACTGATAACAGTGTTCTTCACCTTGTAAAAACTTTTTCAGATATAATCAAATGCAATAATTTGTCTAATTTGCTAGTTGCAGCTAATGAAAGGACACATGGGGAAATCCTTAAACATGTGGCAGGAATAACTTTGTTTCTAATTAGTTATTAATAGCATTCAGACACAATAGGATGTTGTACTGACCTATTAATATACACCTTGGATGCATCATGAGGCCTGAGGTCACTGGGCAGACTGCCTTACATACTCTTAAATTGTATACACCTCTACCCCAATATAACGTGACCCGATATAACACGAATTCGGATATAACGCGGTAAAGCAGCGGGGAGCCCCAGGCCCTTTAAAGCGCCGCCCAAGCCCCGCTGCTTTACCCCGTTATATCTGAATTCGTGTGGAGCCCCGGGCCCTTTAAATCGCCACCCAAGCCTCACTGCTGGAGCTCCGGTGGTAATTTAAAGGGCCCGGGGCTCCCCGCAGTGGCTGGAGCACCGGGCCCTTTAAACCACCGCTGGGGAAGCCTGACTGTACCGGCTTACTTTAACCTCTGGATATAACGCGGTTTCACCTACAACGCGGTGAGATTTTTTGGCTCCAGAGGACCGCGTTATATCGGGGTAGAGGTGTACTAATGGAGCAATAAAAAGGCTCTATAGTGTCCTGTTGCTATTATACTATATTTAGGCTTGGAAGAATTAGATTTTTATCGGTAAATGTCAGTAAATGTCTATTTTACCATACACACACAAACTGAAGAAAAAATGTCATCTAATGTTGAAATTTCAGATAGGCAAAGTAGTAAGTTCTCAAGCAGCATTTATTCTTAGTTTGCTTTAAGGATGTTTACTTTGTATATTTTGTGTGTTGACAGTTTGTGTTTTAACAGTTAGAAAGCTTAACTTTTTGAACCACAATGTCAATTGTCATTAAATTGTCTGACTCCCCCATCAATGGTTCCAACATTCCAATATTAAATACGAATATTTTCTATTTTTATTTCAAATCCATAATTTTGCACAACTGTGAAAATTTAAATAAATACATCTAAAAAAGCTTAAAAATAAACATTGATATTATGTCAGAATTATAATTAAAAAATCCATTGAATTCTGCCAAGCCTAAATATAGTATGGTTATTATTCTTTTAAAAATAAAAATTAAATTAACTCTTCAATGCTTCTTGTATACATTCTTTTCACTGAGGAAAACAATATAAAATGGAAAGGTGAGAAAAAAGTAGAAAAAGCGTGCAGTAACTGCATTTTTCTAGCATTAACAAAACCTATCATAGATATGAATGGAAGCATCATGTCCTGAAATGCAGTTTGAGTGCATTTTGAGTGCTCACAAGTGAGCTTGAAAAGCCTGGGTCTGCATGTGCGGGTACACGGTCCTGCATACACTATGCAGTGCAGACAAACCCAAAGTAACAGTGCACTTATCACAAAACTCTCTGGGTGTGGATGGCAGTGTTGTGTTGTATTTGGCAGTTAAGATTCACTACAGACCCAGCTGTATCACTGTCTTCTCACAAGCCTTGCTCGCATCTCTGAGCTCTAGTTCTTTGGCCAGGATTATAATCCTATCTGATCCAAGCCATTTTAAGCATGATTCAACAACATACTAATATTTATCTTTATAGCACTGTACAGATGTCATTCTAGCATCCCTCTGAGATATGTAAGAACTGTTCCCATTATGAAGTGATGGGAAAGTGAGGCAGAAAAGTTAAGAGAATGGTCCCAGGTGACAGAGGAGTCCAATGGAATTAGTGTCAGGAGTTTCCAGCTTGCAGTCCTGTGCTCAGACCATAAGACCACATGTTTCACAAGAACTTTCTCTAATTCAGTTATGCAAAAATTAGAGATGGACCAAAATTTGCATTTGAGGTGTCAACACCTTTTGAATTTGAGGAGGAACAGGATTTGGGGTCACAATGCCACCCACTCAGATTTGGCCCATCCACCCCTCTGTCATAACTGTAAGAATGATCTTATGGGCAAAGTGCTACAGTATGTAGCATCTTCTGCTTTCTTTACTTTTGTTTTTCTGATTTTTCTATGAGCTTGCAAAGCAGGTTATAAGGTATAGAATTCAAAGCAGTACAGGTTGTTGAAAAGCAGCAGAAATACATTATATGGGAGCAACTGAGTATGTGGGGTCAACCTAGGTTTTCAAAGGGAACAGGTACCTAAGTACTATAATGATGGGCATATTACAGTTTGATTGGTGTTAACACATTCTAATCTTTGTTTGGCATCCCTAAGAACGGAGCCTCTTAAGAGTACCCATCAAATCATCTCTCTCTATTTAAGGAATCATTGAGCTGACCCTCCGTGCCCCCCAAACAAAACAGTTTTTTCCTCCCCCTCTTGGCTTTCCTTGAATTCCGATCTTCCGACTATGTGTCTCTCCAAGTTCACAGCTTGGTAGAAGCAAGTGTGGGTGTGTTTTGATTTGTCTCTGACAACAAAAGAATGAAATGTAGTGATATCTGCTGACAACTGGATCAGAGCTCCCAGGTATCAAGATTTGACTCCTACAAAACCAATATGTGGTGAGGAGGACAATCTGCTTTGACCTTATAAAAGGTCTGAAAGGGGGCAAACCAAAATGTTTCCTTTGCAATTTCTCTCTTTCTCATTCTGTAACTGTATCATTAATTCTGTAAAGTGATTTGACATATATAAAAAATATTGTGCAGAATTTGTATTTTTTTTAAACACGAACTGACTTTAAGATTGAATGAAAAGGTTCCTCAGCACAGCAAACAAATGAAATAATTTACCATAATGATTATTTTTTGTGAAATTCTTAGAGGTAGGTGTACCCCTAGAATCACAGAAGCTAAAAAGACCTGTTTAGATTATCTAGTGTCCAGTTACATCATGAAATTCATCCATGTGCCACTGCAGAGCCTGGTGTTGGCATGGAAGGAGAGGAGAGTGGCTTGCATTTGGCCTTGACATAGGTTAGGGCAGCCCTGGTTGGTGGCCTAATTTGTTTCCTGCTGCCTAAGGCCCCAATGGGCCTTATGGCAGCTAGGGAATAATCAGGGTGCAGTACTGCCTTGCTTCCTTCTATCTCCCTGACCATACCTGACTTGCTCTGTAATGAGTCCTGTGCTGGAGTCCAGTGGTTCTGCACCTGACTGGCAAAGACTGTATGCTGGGGGATAATCCTTGTGGAAGCACTGTGTTCTGCAGGCACTCTGCACCAGCATGGCTGGCACAAATGGCACAGAGCAACCATGACTTGAGCATATAGTTTAGCTCAGTCCAGTTTTAACATGTTTCAAGGATGGGTCTTCCACTACCTTTCACAGCCTGAAAGCTCTTACTGTAGGAATAAGGATGGCAGTGTTGCCAGCTCTTGCAGGTATTTCCTGGTATCTGGTGGGGTTTTTTAAAGCTCTGGCTCCAGGAATCACATGATTCACGCTCAGCATTCTTCTTTAAATTAAATTAAATTTTAAATTAATGGAGATGTCCTATCTCCTAGAACTGGAAGGGACCTTGAAAGGTCATCGAGTCCAGCCCCCCGCCTTCTTTTCTAGCCCTCATTTTTCTGGGAAATCTTAAAACGTGACCTTTAAATGCTCGAATACTAGAGGGGGTGGGGGAACCTCCCATTCGGTGTTTAAAATCTCATGCTTTTAAGCCAGTCCCAGGAGTTGAGTGTGCGGTTTGGCAATTCTGCAGATGCATCGCCCTTGGCTGTATTTTCCACTTGCCTCCTGGGGTTTTACTCATTAGATGGTGGCCGAACAGCTCCGAACTGGAGTTCCTGAACATGGCTCCTTTGCACGGCTGCCTTCGCGCCCCCCTGTGCGGCTCCTGGTCCTTTCGCTCTGGGACAGCGCAGGCTTGCGCCGCCAAGCCAACAAAAACTACAACTCCCAGGGTGCACCGGGCTCGGGGGTGGGGAGGGAGCGACGGTGGCCGGTGAGGTGCGCGGCCGGCTCTGTTCTCTTGTAGGCGGGCTCCGTCGGGTAGGTAGCCAATAGGCGAGGGCGATAGTGGGATGTGCGTAGCCTGGCGGGCGGGCTGCCTGAGGGCTCATGCAGTGCGGGAATTTCGGACGGGGAAGAAGGAGCTGTTGGGCCGGGCCCGGCTCCTGAGACCCAGCAGGTATTTGAAGCTGGGGCTCTGAGGAGGCGGGCTCAGCCGGCTGGAACCGGCCTCAGCCTGCTCCCCTCCCCTCCCCCCGGCGGTGGGCTCCGGCCCGGGAAAGGGGCGGGAGAAGCTGCTGTGTCGCGCTTCGCCCCGCGGGGCCCCGGGGGGGGACGGCCCCCCCCCCCCCCCGCGCCCCGCCGCGGACCCCCCCCCCCCCCCCGCCCCGCCCAGGCTCGCTCGGCGCGGGGCTCACTCCTGCCCGGCTTCCCCACCCCCACGGGCCCATTTCCACCCGGGGAGACGTTACTGAAAGGTCTCGAGGTTCATCCTGCCCCTTAACCTCGGGCGGGGCCTACCTAGCTGTGGAGCCCACAACCCCGCAGTGCCCCGCTTCTGAGCCTGCCACCCCCCCCCCCCCCCCTCAGGGGCTTTTGATGGCTGCGGGGTTGGACGCAGGTAATGCTGTTTACGCCCAGGTGTGAGTCATGGGGGGAGGGAGAACGGGCGGGATCAGTCCAGCTCGTGCAGATAAGAGTGAAGTGTATTTCTCATCTCTTGGGGAGGGGTGTGGAGGGAGGAGAAGTGTCACGGGGAAGTGGAGTGCGGGGACCACTTGAAATCCATCATCACTTAAGACGATGAAGATGCGAGAGAAAATAAGTTTTACCTTATAACAAATGTATCCTTAAAATCCTGCCTAAATGAGTTAGGCTCGAGCAGGTCCATCCTGTTTGCGACCCGGACTGTGGAGATGAGTTGGCTCCATTTTTCTACTGTTTATAGGACTCAACTTGCGCAGGTGTAGGCTCAAACCTATTGTCCTGATGGATTTACAAGGAGAGCACCTCAAGGCATCCCTCACATTCTCTATCATTCATTAGGAAATTTTGAGTCTCTTCTGCTGGTGCTAAAGGTTTTTGTGATGTTTGGAGACTGTCTTGTTCCTGATTAAGTTTCACACATTAAAGTCATCGCTATTTGAGACAGACTTTGAGATACCACTTACTTCTTGGTGAGAATCAGCATTGACTCCCCAGGTTATAGAGTGCCCCAAATGAATATAAAAACAGCAGTCCTCAACCTCTGCAAAATCACCCCAAATACCTCAAACTTAAGGACTTCCTTGTTGTTGTGTAGGTGTCTATTGTTGGTCCAAAGATGTAGAGATTTGGGGGTTATATCTGGTCTGGCTTTTTAGACATGTTCCCAGATAATAGAAATATATGAAGGGCTTTATCAGTCTGAGAATTGTATGAATGGAAGTCAGAAAGTTGAAGGAGATTTTAAATCTAATTGAAGTACAAAGTGTTAATTATGGCTGGAGAAGATAGTTTAAACTGGTTTAAAATTAATCCAGAATCAGGGAGGTTGCTTCTAAAAAGAACTAGATTTGGCAGGTCTGATTCATGCTGCATTGAGGGATTCAAAAATAAAATGTCTTTCCCTCTGTGAAGAGGCCTGTGTCCAGTTTTCCCAGCTTTCTGCTGTCTTGACAAAACATTATAAAATATTTTAAAATCCACCAATATAGGTTCACCCTGTCTAGTTTGAACATAAATACTGAGAGGGAAGAACTTTTAAATAGCTGTAACTAAAGCAATTACTTTGCTACCAATTGATTTTTAATAACCCCAGTTAATCTGAAATGTCTGGTGTTATTCTAAACATGGAACAGAAGGCCTGAAGGAGGGAAAAAACTTTCTTGCATAAATTAGACCTTCAATTGCTGTAGAAACTACCTGTTTTGACACTGGAAATATCTGAAATATCAGTGGCCATTTTGGTGCCTTTCTCTCTGAAATGAGCAAAATTGTGTCCATTGTTTTGAATAAAACAAACAAAAATCCCAAACCTGCAAACAGTTTAAAGTATTTAGGAACTTTAAAAAGAGAAAGTGTTTTTGTGGAGAGGAGGAAGGTATTTTTTTCTTCTTTGCTGGCAGACTTGGAGAGTTCTGCTATGAGTAAGCAATATTAATGACGCGCAGATTTCATGTCTAGCTGGAACTGCCTATTGACTAAAAGGTTCACAGGTTAGCAGCACTGTCCTCTCTATGCTGAAAAATAAAAAGCGATTCTATTGAGATAAACAAATCTAAAAATGACAGTTTGTAGAAAATAAGAAAAGAACCAGGAAGGAATTCAGCAGCATAGTTATTCTGAATGGCCACATACAGAAATACGTTCTTAAAATGAATTTGATTTATAGTCATTTGACTTTTACTGAGAATGGAAGAAAACACACACTGGGAAATGTCTATTCAAGCTTATTTAAGAGTACAACAGCAGTAACTGGAATACTATTTCAGATTGCATTTATAAAGATTACTGATTGTGAGACTGAATTGCTAAATTGTGTGCATACCTCAAGCATAGCATGTGGAAAAGCAAACAGTCACCTTGTACTCACTAAAGAAGTTTTGGAGAAGAGTTCAGACAAACCAACCTCTACTTCTGTTGTCATTTTTCTGTTTGTTAGGAGCAAAATCTAAACTATTCAGTCTATGCAACTTCTGAGTAAACAGCCCTATAAAGTGGTGCAACCATGTGCCTTAAAAATATGTTCCTGCCAGTAAGCAGGGTCAAATCTTTTCAGTACTTAAGAGATAGATGTCAAATAATATACTACATAGTACCCTACCTTCAAGGATTTCAAAGCAGTTTGTGAGCACTAATTCAATTAAGCTTCACAGTACTCCTGTGAGATAGAAAATATTTCTGTTTACTGATTGGGGTGAGGTGGGGGGAGTGGTAATACACACAGAATGATGAAGTTGCAATGACTTATTACGGGGAGAGAGAGACTAGCATCTCCAGGCGATAGACCATCTCTCCTCTCAAAAGGTATGTCTACACTAGAATAAAAGGCCCATGGCACAGCTGTGGTTGTCTTGGGCTCACAGGGCTCAGTCTGTAGGGCTAAAAATTGCTGTATAGATGTCTGGGCCCAGGCTCTGGGACCATCCTCCCTCGTGGGAGATTTCAGAAACCAAAAAAAGCTATGATGTAGGTAATTTGAAGTCTTCTAAGGCTGTACTAAATGTATACCCTAGTGTGGTGTTAGTGGGTATTGTGCTGTTTGGATGAGAGATAAAACTGATGCTCTGTCCTTAGTATGTATTGTGCAAAAGGAATAATTTTAGTGCTGGTATTCTGGCAAACTTCTATTTTGAGTAAATTGTATTTGATTATATCTAAACACCTCCCCCCCATCACTTTCATTTTGTTATAATCTTCACTTCCTGCCCTATAAATTCTGTTGTTACTATATTGTAAAATAGCTGCAGCATTCCTCTCTAGAGATGAATGATTTTTGTGCATCATTTTGTAAAGCATTTTAAGATCATGTGGAATGAATGTTTATTTTTGGTTGGTTATTAGTATCCCAGTTGTTAGTAGTATCCCAGTGAGAAGTAGATGCTTTGAAACAAGGGACATCCTCCAAATATGGAGAGGGTAATATTCCAGTCATATATCTAAATTAAAAGTGTAGTGGTCTACAACATTTAACAGACCATTTAATATTTGGGTGGCAAATTATGTGCAATAACAAAAGTAGCAATAAAGGGTTGTCTTTTCCTTCTTTGTTGCTGTTTACCTTGTCTCTTCAAATTTCATTGTCTTAAAAATGTGTTTATTTTTGTAGGCAGCTACAACTGCTTCCAATCCCAAAATCTTCCTGTTTTTATACTGTGTAGCTTCTGAGAAGGTACATATCTGAACATATGATCTCAAATGTGGAAGCATGGGGAGCCAGAGCTTCAGTACTTTCAGAGGACAGGTTTTCTGCAAAAAGAATGCTTAGCCTTGAGCATGCTGCCTTTTTAAACTATAATTGCTTGGCACCTATGGCCTAGTGATAGCTTGACCAACTTGTGAGTAGGCACAATGCCATCCTGACAGATGGGTATGAATGTGTAGACAGTCAAGAAACCATGTATGAGTATCTAGTATAATTGTTAAGGGCAGGATTCTCAGCTGGGAACAGTCAAACCTCTGTTCATTCTGAGCTTTCACTTTATGGTTAAGGGGATGTCATAATTAATTAATTTATTGACTGAGTGTCTGCAGGAGTGTAACTTTTGACCACGTTGGATAAAGAAAACTGGGGGGAGAGGGGAGCACTTTTCACTAACTCCTCTTGTGGAGTTAGTTGAAATAAGCTGTTTTGTTCCCTGTAAGCAGGTTTGTCAGCAGCAGATCTAATGGTGAGGTTACTAGGGTGAAATATATCCATAACTCTTCATTAATAAAGCTAATATATATGTTGAATATAAATAGTTCAAGTTTTGTCTCTGGTTGATAGCATTTTACAAAGAATAAATCCCAGGAGAAGATGTGGCAGCACAGGTCAATATAGTATTTTCTGAAGTCAGGTATATGGTGGTGGAGAAGAAGCAGTAGTTCCTGGTGTCTATGAACCACTCTCTCTCAGGCTAGTTCAAGGAACATTTGAATTTGTACAAATCACACAAGTCAGATTTCTCTGCAGTTATAAATGGAGGAAAAACTTTAACCTGAACCTGATGCTATTGTATCTCATTTTAAAAAAAAACCTGAAGTGTCAAGAAAAACATTTCAAGAGGACCAAGTGCAAATTATGGGTAAACTTTATTTTATAAATTTAGATGAAGTGTCTCAAAGCTGTGTCTGGATTATATATAAAAGAAGGTTTTATTTTACAGTAATAGCTAGAAATATTGGAAAGCAATTCAGATTTAAAAAAAAAATCTTTGCATTTTGGATACTAAAAGGTTCAGATGTGATAGGTGTGGGTAATAGTATTTTAGAGATACCCTTCTCTTGAGGTGGTGATTTCATATTTGTTCTGCTGCTGGTGTGCCTATGTCATAACTATAAAGGGAAGGGTAACAGCTCTCTGTGTACAGAGACTCCAAATCCTTTTACCTGTAAAGGGTTAAGAAGCTCGGGTAACCTGGCTGACACCTGACCCCAAGGACCAATAAGTGGACAAGATACTTTCAAATCTTGGGGGGTGGGGAAAGGCTTTTGTTTTGTGTCCTTTGTTTAAGGGGTGGTTCGCTCTTGGGACTGAGAGGGACCAGACATCAATCCAGGTTCTCCCCATCTTTCTAAACAAGTCTCTCCTATTTCAAACTTGTAAGTAAAAAGCCAGGCAAGACGTCTTAGATTTACTTTGTTTTCTCAACTTGTAAATGTACCTTTTACTAGAGGGTTTATCTTTGTTTGCTGTACTTTGAACCTAAGACAGAGGGGGGTCCTCTGAGCTCTTTAAGTTTGATTACCCTGTAAAGTTATTCTCCATCCTGATTTTACAGAGATGATTTTTACCTTTTTCTTTAATTAAAAGCCTTCTTTTTTAAGAACCAGATTGATTTCTCCTTGTTTTAAGATCCAAGGGGGTTTGGATCTGTGTTCACCAGGGAATTGGTGAAAGGTTTCTCAAGGCTTCCCAGGGAGGGACTTCTTGAGATGGTGGCAGCGGACCAGAGCTAAGCTGGTAGATAAGCTTAGAAGTTTTCATGCAGGCCCCTACATTTGTACCCTAAAGTTCAAAGTGGGGATACAGCCTTGACAGCCTATATCTGCTATGAGTATTCAAGTGTAATTCTACTATCTTATGAAACTTTGCACATTTAGGAGGCTCCTGAAGAGTAGAACAATATATTATTTCTTTTACTTTGGGGGTGGGGAATGAAAGCATTTTATTTTTTTTAACATTTTATTTTTCATCCAGGTGACGCGTTTCCTGGCTGCAGACTTATTAGGTAGGGGGCACATCTCATTTGTCAGGAAGTGGTGCTGGCAGCTGGTGGAAACATGATACCTGTTGTCCTGTCCTCCAGGAGAGTGTTGCAGACTCTGGTATGGCAGGGGGCTGCTTGGGGGAAAAGCAGTGGCTATTCAGACCAGGGAGCTTCAGGGAAAAGGTGTGGTGCTTGGGGTTGCTGCTACAGTTGCAAGGCCCTCTATTTCTCAGATGTGGGAGCTGGAGAGAGGGCCCCAAAAGTGCATAGCAGCCAGGAGGGGAAGCTGATGAGTAGGGAACAAAAGTTCAGCAAGACCAAGAAAGGAAAATACAAGGAAAAGGGGGACACTGGGGAGTCAGAGAGGAAGTTGCAGAGGGGTGAGGCAGAAGGGAGCAGAAATAGACCAATTCAAGCAATTGTTTCAAGCCTTTCCCCACCCTCTCATTGCTCCTTCTCTGTAATCTCCACTGTGCGTTTGCCTTTCTCTGGTCTTGCTGAGTTACCACTTACAAGCTTTTCCACTCAGTGGCATACTGTCCTAGCTTTAGTGCATATTAGGAACCTCTTCACTCCTTTTCTCCATCTCCTCCCTTTTAATTCAGCGATACCTAGTTTGAATGGCAATCAGTATCCATCTGCAGAGGCCCACCAGATGAGTCCTGGAGAAGGGCAATAGGTGGCAGTTTCTCCCCATTTGCTGATCATCTTCAAAGTTGTCACCTTCCACTTCGTGGCAAACAGTATATGGCTCCTACATCATGGGAATAGTCAGGAACTGTGATTACATAGAAGAAATACAAATAATTATTCTGCTGTCCAGGAACCTCACAAATTGAGCATTGTTAGAATTTGAAGACCCAAGGCTAACTGTACTTTTAAAAAAGTAAGCTCTGTGTATGCATATATGGTTTTCTTTTTCATAGGGAACAGACAAAGATCAAGTTCTATGTAAAACAAATTAAGAAGGCCTTTCATGTGAAAGATGTATATGCATTTCTTGACATATCATACCCAAACAATCTAGATAGAAAGAATTGACTCAGTGAAATTTTGGTTCTTGTCCCAGTGTTGGAAAACCCAAAGGGGCTTATTGTCTAGTGAAGATCTCAGTCATTCTGGAGGGTAACATATTTATTTGACTGTGATGAAGCCATTAAATTATTTAGTTTCAAAGTGTTCTCTTCCCAAGCTGGAATTTGAAGGTCAAGAGGCAGAAATAAGATTTATGTTCAGAACCTTGAAACTGGAGGTTATTTATTGCACTGTTGAGGTTTCTGGATTATTTTAAATGCTGTCCTGGGATACAGTAAATCCACTGTTGCATTTTTGTTACAGATATATTTGTGGGAGGACATTCTACCGGTATGACTACTTGAATGGTTCTTACAGGTGTTTGATCTTTTTGTGGCATCATGCCAATCACAAACTTAACTACTGCAGACATGGTTAAAGAGAAAGTTGAGAGTTCTTTTTTAGATATATCTAGCTTCAGGACTCCAGTTATTAAAGACATGGACTATATGAAACATTTGTAAATTTAACAGGCTTGATAAAGCTTATTGTATCACAGCTAAATATATTTTTCATATTGTCAGTTCATAATTAATTATCAAATGGAATAGATTCTGTAATTCTCCAGTATGTATTAAATTATGCAAAGCCTTCTAATACAAAATCTTTTGTTCTGAAGCTTCCTTTTTTACTTTTTATCAGATTTTTCTTATAATCAGCTGAAAAGTTTTTTTTCCTGATCCCTGAAGAAATATGCATTGCTTTTCACCTAGGATTCATGCCAACAGGATTACCTTGCAAATTTCTTATAAAATATTTTTGTAGTAACAATTTGGCAATTTCAACAACCTATGGTTGCTGTGTGGAAGTCTGTCATGAGCAAAAGAGACCATAAAAAACTGGCATATGGAGTAGAATAAGGATGCAAAAGAAAATCTGCTCAGTTTATAACCCTGGCATTTACTTCTTATAGTGAAAATGCCATATATAAAGAAGACATCTGGAAAAAGAGGTCCTGTGAAGAGGAAGCTTGCGGAAGAGTTTGCTCCTGGAGAAGTGTTAACAGACACATCAAAAAAAGAGTGGAAATTAGGCATGCCTATAGGTCAAGGTGGCTTTGGATGCCTATATCTTGGTAAGTTTGTGTGACCCAAACTACAACTTCTTAAAATGAGGGTCTTTAAGGTCCCCCCTCCCCAATAAATTGGGGACCCTATTGTCTTCAAATTAACAACAGTTTGGTTAGAGCTGCCGTTTAGTGTTTTTCTTTCTTGCAGAATTGAGAAATGTAGGTAGAAAATAGTTATTAAAGGCATTGAAGATATAGTCCTCCATACGCTGTATTTGGAAGCCCCTCTTGGTTCTTACTCTAACCCCAACTACTTCATATGACAGATCATATTTTTTTCTTAGCTGAAGTGACATTCTTTATTCCCATATAAATCATCCATCTTCTTTATAATATCCCTCAAATGTTTGTAGACAGATTTCATAATTCCCCCTTTCTCATATTTAATTAGTTTATCATCTTAAAGGTCATTTATGCACTTTTAATTTAAATTTAGTACTTGTGAGAGAGGCCAGATTGTTGGTGTGGCCACCAGCACTTCAGGCATCATCCCCACACTGCCTTGCCATGGTATTTCAGCTCTGACTTTGGAGGACCTACCTGTAGAGGTGAGAGGATAGCTCAGTCTCCATGCTAATTTGATCTTTGGTCTCTGTTCTGATGGTATTATTTGTCATGAGGATACTTGGCACTTAAATTCTAAACTGAGACTATTGACTCATTTGATATAGGATGCTGACCAGACAACAGATGACAGCTTTCCATTTCCTTTCTGCTGGGTTACATTTGAACTGACATGGTCAAGTGCTTGATATTACATAACCAATTCCCTGCAATGTCTATCAAGTCCAAGAATTTCACTGTCAGGGTATCATTAAATTTCATTTTGTAGTGCTATCTGTTTGTTGAGTGTGAGAAAACGTGTGAAAAATAATATGGCACCTAATCCTTAAATGTATCTGTTTTCTGAATAAATTGGCAGTGTGAAGGTGGTCCTCTCATAGCTATCATTCTACACACCAGTGTTGAGGGGATGAAACTTTAGATGAACACTCTAGCCAAGGGCCCTTTTGACTATGTGGTGCCTTTACTGTGTGACAAGATGTCCTCCCTCTCCTCCCAATTTATGTGGCATGATTGCATTGAATTATGTGGCATGCAGTCACTTATTGATTACAAAATCATTTGGTAAGCCATAGTGCTCCTAAAATGAACTGGCAACAGTAGGAGGGGATTAAGCATTGTATTGAAAGACGGTAGCTACCAAGTGGGGTTTCTAGCCTTGCCATGGTGGCCCTCCACTACTGCATGTTTTTGCCCATTCAACTGGTAACCCTACCAGAGGTGGAACTCTGCTCATGTTATACACTTGCGCGTATTAGTAGTTGCCTTTTCAGGAAAGACTAACCTTACTCCCGCTCAGAGAGTGCTTAAGCCCCTTCTCCCACTGGTATAGATGTGTGCCCCGGCTCCCTCAGTATCTGGTATTTTAAAATTGCCTGCCATGGAATCCCCCATTAACACATCTCCTGTGGAGTTTCTAAAATGGCACTCAGACAAGCTGAGAGCTGAAATATATCCAAAAAATATTTTCCTATCTATCGTATCTTCGTAAAAAGATAAATGATGGTCTCCTGTGCTTAAGCCACACTGTAAATTAGGCCTTACCTTTAAGTCACTTGAGAAGGTACTAGTGAATGGCAAGGTGGTGGGGGACTCCTTTATCATTTAGTAAATGTCCCCAGTGGGAGAAATCAAGACGGGAAATTTAACTTGGTTTTCTGCATAATTCTGACACCAAGCTACTGAACAATTTATATTCATGTTAATATTTAATTACTTTATAGAGTAGCTAACCAAATGACATAACAAGTAGTAGCTGTATGTGTTTTATGATAGTTGCCTCTCATTCTACTGATAAACGCTTCATATTTTAACAGCTGATGTTAATTCTTCAAAATCGGTTGGCAGTGATGCACCCTATGTTATAAAAGTGGTAAGAGAAATTTTGAATCTATTTATTTCAAGATATCAAATGACTTCTCTAGTATTGCATGTATAACATGAAACATCCCCTCAGCTAGAATTAAGTCATATAGTGCGAGCTTCATTAATGTACATTTAATAATAATTGTGGTAATACCTAAAAGCCCCAGTGAGGATCAAGACCCCATTGTGCTAGCTACTGTACAAACATGTAAGACACGATCCCTGTCCCAAACAGTTTACATGCTAAACACACACAGTGATATATGAAGAGAGGAAAAGAGAAATAATCACATTTGTGCTGTAGGGAGACTAGAGAAGGCTAGGTTTCTGTAACAAGACAAGAGATGTTAGAATTTGAACTAGAGTTTTGGCTGTCTGGACAGAAAAGTTGGAATTGAAAATACTGGATAGGGAGGAGTGGTAAGATCTGAACACAGCCTGGGTGTATGGGGCAGTTGATGAGAGGGAATTGAAAATGACCTGGAGGTTATGGTTCTGAATGACACTCAGAACGATGGTGTTATTAAAAGTGACAGAAAAGAGGGAGAAATGAGTATTGCAGAGGGAAGATCAGAAATTTAGTTTTGGCCATGTTAAATTTAAGTTAATGGAAAGACATCAAGAGAGGCTGAGACATGAGTTTAGATGAAAGGCGGCAGATCAGAAGTGGAAAGACAGATCTGAGAGTCACCAGCACAAAGCCGGTAGTTGATGCAGTGACCCAGATCATGCAGCACAATTCTTTACTTTACACCACTCAGGCAGCACAAACTGGATTAAATGTCTGCAAATGGCTATTGAAGAACTTCCTTCTGGTGTAAGACTGATCTAGGCAGTTTCTGTGCCAGTTAGCCTCTTCCTTCTCTTGGTGGCAGGAGTAGACTAGGTGAAGGCTAGGGAAATGGCAGAGCTATATATTAGTTAATGATAATACATTCATGCAACTATTGGCCAAACTTTGTAATAATTTGTATTGCAGTTTAACTTTTTTCCAGTTTAACATGTTCTTTTCCCAACCTTGTTGATATGTAGGTTACATTTGATTACTTCCAATGTGGCCCCTAATTTGGGTTCTGACTCTGAAAAGTAGCTCCAGGAACCACTTGAGAAATTGGGAACATAGTAATGGACATACTAGATCAGACCAGTGGCCCATTTGGTAAAATATCTTGTCCCTGGCAATGGTCAAGACCAGATGCTTCAGAGAAAGGTGCATGACCTTTTATTGGAAAATTGCGCAATAACTTGTTAATATGGACTTTTGTTCCTGAGTCTAGCTCTGAAGCACGGGGGTTTATATCATGCTTTTTCCTCTGTCTGCTCATTTGTTTAGCAGCAGTGAAATCTACTGCACTAATAGTTGGCCCTCTGTGAAAAATATAAATGTTATAGTAGATTTTTATTCCAGTTTAAAGATCCAATTAATTTAGAATAAAACAGTCTGCTCTGCTCATTGCATCACTTTGGAAACGGACAGTGTCACATCATATGAACTATAAAATATACTTATTTTTTGACAATTGGTGGTGAGCCTGTTGTTAGAAATGATCATTTGCTGTGAAGTGGCATTTTACCTGATAAGAAATAGAAGGTATTGTAACAGATTTTTGTCGTTCTGTAATAATGGAATTGCCTTTTTACTGCGTTTTGTAGTACCTCTATTGCTAAGCTCCCTGAAAGTTAATTCCTCTCCTTTTATTCCTGTCTGTGTATTCAGGATGTCTTTGCACCAGTATGAAGTGCTCTGCACCCCAGTTTTTGTACTGCTGTTTTCTTCTCTACTGGTTAAGCAGTTAGTGCTCTTCTTTCTGCTCTCCTAGTCCATGCATTTTGACTTCCTCTTCAACAGATATTTGTTATACCTACGTGAATGACCCATGACTTGTTGCTTCCCTTCTCAACTGGGATGCAGCTTCTAATAAGGGTCTGTTTTTGATGCCCTGAGAGCCAAGTTAACTCACAGCAGAGATAAAGAGGTTAATAGCCGAAGGATTAAGATAAAGAGGTTAATAGCCGAAGGATTATTAATGTTCAGTAGTTAAACAAAATGTTTGTTCACCTAGCAATGTTCTTCAGATGGTTAGACTATTAAAGCAGGATAGAAATTGGCTTAGTCTTCTGGCATAGAGTTCTTATCGATTTGGTATCTAATCGGTATAAAATGAATAATTGTAAAGTTTTTCACAATTTTTTCCTAATGAAGAAATGCTTCTTAAAGTATGAACTTTCAGATGTCTCTGGGCAAACGTGGGTGCAAAGTTTATTTAATGACAGTGCTTATCTTTTCTAGATGGGACAATTTAATTAATTCTTAAAATATTGTTAAAGAAAAGAGAGGCAGATATGTCTTGAGTTTTGACATATACAATGTAATGGCAGAGAGTGGTATTTCCTCTAGTCAAATTTTAGTTTCAATTTCCTAAAGCTTGGGCATGAACTTCTAGAGTACATCAGGTTTGAAATCTAAGTGTTTTATAAGGTGCCAATCACTGTGGTATTGAACATTGTTATCATAATATCATAATACATAATCATAATACAGCGTCATGACTGGGGAACTGTGGCCAATGGGAGCTGCAGGGGCAGTGCTTGCAGGCAGGAGGAGCATGCGGAGCCACGTCCCCACCCCTTCCCAGGGCCATAGGGGCGTGCTGGCCGCTTCTGGGAGTGGTGTGGGGCTGGGGCAGGCAGGGAGCCTGCCTTAGCCTCACTGCGCTGCCCGAGGTAAGTGCCACCCGGTGGGAGCCCGCACTCCGGCCCTGAGCCACCTTCCGGAGCCAGCACCCCATATCCCCTCCTACACGCCAAGACCCTGCCCCAGCCTTGAGCCCCCGCCTAGAGCCAGCCCCCCATACCTCCTTCTGAACCCTCTCCCGTGCTCCAGCTCTGAGGCCCTTCCTGGAGCCAGCACCCCGTACTCCGTCCTGCACCCCGACACATTGCCCCAGCCCGGAGCCCCTTCCTGCACCCAAACTCCCTCCCAGAGTTTGCACCCCTCACCCCCTCCTACACCCCTGCCCCAGGCTCAGCCCGGAGCCCTCTTCCACACTCCAAACCCCTCTGCCACAGCCCGGAGCCCCTCCCCCAAATCCCCACCCCATGCCCCAGCCCGATGAAAGTGAGTGAGGGTGGGGGAGAGCAAGCGACAGAGGGAGTGGGGGGATGGAGTGAGCGGGGCGGGGCCTCGGAGAAGGGGCGGGGTAGATCCTGGGTTGCACTGAAATTAAAAAAGTGATCTTGTGTGTAAAAAAGGTTGGATACCACTGTTTAGAATTAACTTTATTATGGAGGCATTAGTTGCAGCTCCATAGTTAAGGCTGAATTCTGTTTTACACTTAAAGCATGAATCAGCCTCAGTTATGAAAAAAAACAGTGTATGCTTACCAAATTCATGGCACTTACTCTGTGTACAGAATATATTTTCTGAGAATTTATAGGTAAATCTGTTAGTTTGGGTTAAAATGAATTTTAAAATGTGTGCTTTTAAAGAATTTAGCATCAGTCAGCCTTTTTTGTTCCAAATGATCTTAGTAACAGAATAAGACTCTTCAAGCTTTCTATATAGTTGCAGTTAATTGAAATCTTGTACATAGGCTATATTTGAAGAAATTGTTATAATTAAGCTTAATTATTGTATTGTTGTGATTGTATAGGCAAATATGTGGTCAAGTCAGCAGCTCAGGTGACTGGGGCTGTTGCGATATCCTAGATAACTCCACCAATCACCACCCTTTTTCTACAGCAAATTTGCATGTCACAATTCTGTTGGTTATAATGAGTGTGATATAAAGAATACTGGATGAGTGCCAGAGTTCTCAGTGGTAGATTACTTGGCCCAACTGTCCTTGCTCTTTAAAGGTTCCGCCTACTAGCCTGGATATCAGTACTTGAAAGGCTACCCATAACACTGCTGCCTTGGCTCTACTGTAAACCAGGGCAGTACTGCTGGGGGAACAGAGTTAAGGACCATTTGAGAAACCTTGAAAGTGCAGGAGTATTAGGACTTGGGAACTGGACTACTCTTGTCCCATTCTTCACATAATGACGATCTTCTTAACAGTGCTCTAAATCAATAAATAGTTGCAAATTAAGGGTCTGATGAAATTCATCCTAGGGTACTTAAGGAGCTAGCAGAAGCAATCTCAAAATTGCTAGCAATTATCTTGAAGCACTCATGGAGAATGGGTGAGGTCCTGGAGGACTGGAGAAGGGCAAACATAGTATCTATCTTTAAAAAGGGGAAACAGAGGACCTGGGAAATTGTAGACCAATCAGCCTAACTTCAGTACCCAAATAGATACTGGAATAAATTATTAATCAATTTGTAAGCATCTAAAGGCATATCTAGTGGGGACCCCTAATGGCCCATCCTGGGTCGAGTACTATTCAGTATTTTCATTAATGACTTGGATAATGGAGTGGAGAGTATGCTTAAAAATCTGTGGATGACACCAAACTGGGAGGGGCTGCAAGCACTATGGAGGACAGGATTAGAATTTAAAATGACTGACAAATTGGAGAATTGATCTGAATTCAACAAGCTAAAGTTCAGTAAAGATAAGGGCAAAGTACTACAGTTAGGAAGGAAAAGTCGAATGCACAACTACATTGGAGGTTTTAAGAACAGGTTGAACAGATACCTCTCAGGGATGGTCTAAGTCTACTTGGTCCTGTCTCAGTGCGGGGGACTAGACTAGATGACTTTTTGAAGTCTGCTAGCCCTGAATATATGGAGGTATACCTATCTTATAGAACTGGTAGGGACCTTGAAAGGTTATCAAGTCTAGTCCCCTGCCTTCACTAGCAGGACCAAGTACTGTCCCTGACAGCTTCCCCCCCGATCTCTAAATGGCCCCCTCAAGGATTGAACTCTCAACCCTGGGTTTAGCAGGCCAGTGCTCAAACCACTGAGCTATCCCTCCCACCATGTCTATGATTTTGTTATCTGCTTTGCGCTGCTCTGGTGATGCAAAGCAGCTGTAAACCCAGGTTAACTGGCCAGTGCACTCTGCTTATTTGCCCTTTTCTGGTGTACCATTGAATCTGCCCTTAAAAGTTACAATTATAAAAATGATTTAAGATTCATACTACATATCTTCAAGTCATTAATAATATCATACGGTAACATTATCTTTGGGTTTCTTGCTTAGTTTTCATGTATGAAATGTGTAATAATTAAAGCAAAGGAAAAAATCTACATTGAAATGGAGCTAGGGTTGAGTGTGTGTATCGTAATCTAAGAGTAAAACACATTACATGTAGGCATACCTGAGCTACATGTGTTCAAGCTAGCTTGTTAACAATTGTAGTGTAGTTGCAGCAGCATGGGCTAGCCACCCGAGTATATTCCCAGGATCCTGGGTGGGATTGTACTTGGGTGGCTAGCTTGTGCCGCTGCCTGTGCCGCCACGGCTACACTGCTGTTTTTGTGAGCTAGTTTGGTGGGGCTTACATGTGCTGATGTCACACCTCCTGATGGCAGGGTGGACATCCCCTAAATGTCTTATTCAATAGGAAGAGCTAATACTAAGAGGCATTATCTTGTAAGGACATACAGTTGTAATCACCCAGGGCTTCAAGACTTGTAAGGGAGACTTTTAGCAAGAATGTTTAGAGATTAGTTTTGTATACTTTTCAGTCCAACCATTTCAAGAGTTGAGATTTTTATTAAGAGGACAATCTGTTGTATGATGAACCCCAACATTACAATACCCTTAATTCAGAGAACCTAAAGATGATGACAAAAGTGTATTTAATAAGGCCTGCTAAAGCACTGCTGTAAACAGTTCATCATATTTTTCGTTAACTTGTTATTCTTTAATCAGTATTGGCTGTGGTGGAGGGATACTTTCCTGATGCTCCTAACACTTTCTAAACAGTCTCTGTTGTTAAAGCCATTTTAGTACACAGAAAATGAATTCTTATTGAAGTATCAAACTATCCAGAGTTGGGTGGTAAAGAGTGATATGCTTGTATGTGGGTGTATATCAGCTTATATGGATTTTAAGAGCTATAGTTCTTAATAGCTTTAGCTGCTGTTTTTTAGCTATCTAATTTTAAATTACTGTTTTAAAGGAACCCAGCCAGAATGGACCTCTTTTTACTGAATTAAAGTTCTACATGCGAGCTGCTAAACCAGAGCAAAGTAAGCAGTCTATCAGAATGAACTAAAAGACCATGTTTCCCTATAAATAATAATTTAAGTTTTTAATAAAATAAAGGTGAAGTGGCAGCCTTTAACGTTAAATGTGTTGGTTGGCTCATCAAGAGAGCCTGTTTAGATTCATTTTTTAAAAATGACCTTCTTATGTTCATTTACATTTCTTAATTGTATTCCTTAATCATAAATGGATGTTTCTTTTTACGACACACTTTTTTTTTTCTAAATGGATAATTACTGAAGATAATTGTTTGTAAATAAGAGTTACTGAAGTAGAACCATTGCTCTTGTCCTCTTTCTCACACCTAAGGTCATAAACCTTTGAGGGCTCAGCCTGTAATATCACCAGAACAAATAGGATTTTCTTAGTGTTTAAAGCCAAACAAGATTTTAATGAAATTGGAAGAAAAATTAGTAATTTGAAATAACTTAAAAATAGTTGAGGCATTATTTGGAAAAAACGGAATCTGCTGTGTTAAAATGTAGTCTTGCAGTTACATTTTTGGTATGTAGTTTTCCATCAGTAGTATTAGTTGTATTAGTATCAGGATACATTACAGTTGGATCTCCTTTATCAAATACCTGTTCATGTTAGGATATGTTTCATTACCAGATTTAGAAATAGATAGAAGAGCCTACTTGTTGTCTGGTATACTTGGTTCATGGCTTCTCACTATCAGATAATGATCAGATCTTACAAGCATAAATTTTAAATGATTTATAAGTAATCTTTTCCACAAGACTCCTGCAGTACAAGTTCATAACCTTGTTTTTATTTATATTTTTAGTTCAGAAATGGACTAGTTCCCATAAACTGAAGTACTTAGGTGTACCGAAGTACTGGGGCTCTGGCTTGCATCAAAAAAATGGGAACAGGTAAAATAAGTCTTGTGTTTAGGACATATTAATATTTTCCCACCCACAACAACTTCTTTTATATCCATCTCAGAGTCCAGCTCTTAATTTATAAATCCTTGACCATTATAAGCTACATTCTATAATTTTTCTTTTAATTATCCTGGACATGTGTGCAGAATTAGTCTTTTAATTCACATGTATAAAGAAGGAAATGCACTTTGCCTTCTTATCTTCAATTTGTTTACTCTTGGGGGAGAGAGTCTTTTTATTTAATCTGAGAGCTGGTATAGACAGTCCAGTCCTTATTTTATTTCAAAAGTTCAAGGCTAGGTTTTTATACTGTTTCATGTGAGATTGAGGAATCCATTAGCTCAGAGATATACTGACTTTACATGCATTTATGGCTAGTCTGTAATAGCACAGAATCAGTTGGGTTGGAGATGGCTAACTCTTTGGCAAAACAGTAGTGGTTACTCCAGCAGGCTATATGACATCAGCAGGGAAAGGTGGTGGAGGAAGCGAGATCCATGCTAAGTGTGGAACTTGTAGAATTAGGGATCTTGTAGACCTTGTACAGTAGTGCAAACTTTCTCTGGCTAGGTCAATTCATAGAGCAATTAATACTATGGCCTCAAGTGTCTGAATAGGGCATTAAATCATCCAGTAATGTAATGTAAAGAACTTGAATTCAGGTGATATTGGGATGCAAAAGAAAATGCAGTATGACAAAATGTAACTGTCTCAATCCAAATGAGCTTTTCAGATTCATAATGTTTCATGTGCAGGGCTTTTATGGAATGAGCTTTTATAATAAAGTCAAACTATGGTGACCTTAGAGATGAATATCAAAACATATTTGATAGGGGAGCTTCATTTCAATAAGTAGAATGCTCATTTAAATCTTAGTCGTATTACTTTTAAAGCAGCCAACTTGTGAAAGTAACCACTTAAGTAAAATATAAATTACTTTTGGGGAAAAAAAAAACTGGTCTTAACAGGCAATTAATAGTTGCTCTTTCCTGTTGTGAATGAAACACCATAGTACTTTCCGAGATGGGCGCTTGTTATACTGCATAACTAGCTGGATCTCAGGATCATACCTTTGATGGAGGACCTTTTGTTTAGGTGATATAAAGCAAACAAAACAAATATTAGGGTTGAAGTACAGTACAAAACATTCTAGTGTTCATAAATATTTGTTTGCCTGCATAGCTGATTTTTATTCTAAAAGTAAACATGCTTGAATTCAGTAATTAGTGCAATGGGGTAAAATACATGGGTAAAGTACTGTATACATTTTAATTCAGTAACTTTTTTCCCCCCGATTTGAATATCAGCTATAGGTTTATGGTAATGGACCGATTTGGGAGAGATCTTCAGAAAATTTATGAAGAGAATGCAAAGCAGTTTGCACACAAAACTGTGTTAAAATTAAGCTTGAGAATAGTAAGTAATAGTAATTCCTGAAACATTTTAAAAATCCATCTTCCTAATGTAGCCTTTTGCTAAAAGGCAATTTGTGCTGAATAGTGGTCCTCTGCTGGCTGGAGTTGGGTACTACGCTGATACTCCTGTATATTGTGTTTTGTTAGCTTGATATTCTGGAATATATCCATGAGCATGAATATGTGCATGGAGACATCAAGGCCTCAAACCTTCTCCTGAGCTACAAGAATCTTAATCAGGTATTTCTGATATCTGTGCTTCATTTCTCCTGTTTTAATCCTGTTGTTTGACAACACACTGAGGTGCTTTGAACCTGTGAACATTAGCGGAAGTCTTATTTTTAAGAATGTATACGGTGATATTTCTGCTTAACATTTATATTTAATATTCTACATTTTTGATGCAATTTGCTGGCAGTTTATCAAGTTGGCTATTCTGCCCTAAATAATATTCAGGAGGAGTGCTTGTGATACAAAATGAATTTCAAATAGCTATTTAGGGGTGGAAGCTTAAAATTATATAGTACACCAGTAAATTATGTTTGCCTGTCTGCTTTGTCATTTTTTTTATTTCCTTTGTTCAAGGATCCATCAAATACAAGTGTTCTGTTACTTGGAAAATTTGGTCTCTTAACATGTTGATTATTCAAATCAATTGATTTACAGAAATATATTTAGTTTTCTAATTTTTTTTAAACCCTTTAGTGTTTGGAAAATGTGCATTTAATTTCCATAATTCTACGGATTTCCCTGTCCAAATAGTTTACCTCACAAAGTAGATTAACTATTGCCAGTATATTTAGAAGTAGCCAGGGGATAATGAAGAGTACTACCTGGCATCTGTTCTTTTGCAGTACTCCTTTTGTTGTAATAGGACAACAACAGTAGCTTTATATGAATACTCAAGAAATACAGCATGATAAATGTATTCTAATCTCTGATATCAATACTGTGAGCCTCTTTTACTGTTGTCCAATAGACCATTGTAATCCAGCCTGCTCCTAAATAAGAACTGAACATTTTACTTTGCACTGCCACTAGATCAGCAGTAAATGATTTCTAAAACTGGTTGTCATTTTTCACACAGTGCATGAAGTGACTGAATTTTATATACATGTCTCTCATGTTTAAGAATGAATAAATGAGCTTTTTAATCCAAAGAGCTGACCTTTTGGAGTTTTTGTTCTAAAAAGTTCTGAGAGTCACTCATATTTATTTTTATATGAATTGTTCTGTATGAATAGTCCTTTAATCTTTGCATGGTATGTGGGATTTAATAGGTGTACTTGGTTGATTATGGCCTTGCTTATCGATACTGTCCAGAAGGAGTGCACAAAAAATATAAAGAAGACCCCAAAAGATGTCACGATGGTACAATTGAATATACTAGTATTGATGCACATAAGGGTGTGGGTAAGTAGTCAAAGCTTTAATTCACTTTGTTCCATACAAGACTGTTTTTATTTTAATCACAAACATTTTAGAGAGGACATTTTAAAATAGATTCCTATTTACTGTGAAGTCCTAACACTGTGTTTAAAAAACTAAATGTTCCAACTGTATAGCAGAAGTTCAGCGATGTATTTTCTGAAATTTGCTGGGCAACAGAATTAGAGCATTTACTAATTTTTTCAGCTGTTACTTTGCTGTAGTGTTGGAAATCATTTGTATTCCTTTTCATATAGATATGATTATATCTCCTTTATATAAGAAACCCACCTAATCTCTTAAGAGTGGTCATGTGTATCTGTTAGTATGAGCCACATTTATTGAATTGGTACTAACTGTGTAAGTGGACAGGTGTGTGATAATGATTCTGGGGTGATTCTGGTGAGGGGAAAAATACACAGCTATTTAAGGGAGTTAATGGTCCCTAAATTCAATTTGAAGCATACTTCTCCCATATCTGGCCAAGGCTGAGCCTTAAATTCTGTTTGTTGTAAACTACCATCCTTTAAATCTAATCTGTGTCCATTGAAAATAATAAAACAAAAAGTGAAAAATATTAAACATTATAGTAACATGACTTTATAAAGAGCAAATCTTGCCAGACCAAGTTTGTTGTTTGTTTTGATAAAATTATAGAATTAGTAGATGAAGAACATAACGGCCATAATGGGTCAGACCAATGGTCCATCTAGCCCGGTATCCTGTCTTCTGACAGTGGCCCATGCCAGGTGCTTCATAGGGTACGAACAGAACAGGTAATCATCAAGTGATCCATTCCCTGTTGCCCATTCCCAGTTTCTGTCAAACAGAGGGTAGGGACGCTTCAGAGCATGGTTTTGCAATAGAAATGCAGTAGAAGTGTTATATTTGAATGTTTAGGAAAGTTTTTGATGTCTTGCACAAGTTTTAATTTAAAAATTAAAATCTGCTTGGATGTAAACTCTAAGGTCTGTTAGTCAATTTTTAGCCCAGGTGAAAGGGGATTTTCCTGTTGATACATTTAATAACATTTTAATCGGTATCTTGTGGAACACGTGAAAGCAAATATGTTATATTCCTCGTCTTGTCAACATATAGGATTTCAGAATCTTCTGCAAGCAATGTTTCAGTATTCAGGAAATCTGAAATATTTCCATTTGTGGAATAATAATTTGAAGAACTCACATTTCAACGCTATTCCCTGTTTTTGGGCAATGGGGAAGTAAAAATGTTTTGAACATAACTCAGTCAGTTCACTCACTCTATTTTGTCACAATGCGAGGACTTAAAATGCTTCAGAAATTGGGATAACTGCAGCATGTCATATTCGTGAGCGGAAGAAAGAGAGATTAATTTCAAATTCCTTTATCAGTCTTCCAGCCATTTGAGCAATACTTCTTGTTTCCTTTCCTTCCTGCTTCCCTCTGAAATAAACTCAAAGCATACTGTAGTTGTTAATTACGGTTAACTTTGGCTTCCAGTTGTCTTACTGTGTTTACAAACTTTAACTTTAAATGTGCGTATGTATTTATATATATTTGTAGCTCCATCAAGACGGGGTGACTTGGAAATTCTAGGTTACTGTATGATTCATTGGCTCAGTGGCCATCTACCATGGGAGGACAATTTAAAAGACCCCAACTATGTCAGAGATTCAAAAATTAGGTAAGGAACTTATTATATTTTCTCATTTGAAACTCAATCTAGGAATAAAAATATTTCAGTGTAGCAATACTATGTATTCATAAACAATGCTGCTTCTTCTGTGAGGAGCTGTAATACTATGTCTACTCTTGCAGGCTGGAATGGAGATTCCAGAGTTATAATGAAGTCCAAAACTGTAGGTTATATTCCCCTTCAACCTCCCCCTTGATTACATTCCCTTCCTTTTATTCCCATCCTACCTTCAAAATAATAATTACATCTTCTCTAATTACACCCCTCTTAACTTTTGTACTTGTCAACACCATGTCCCTCTGTTAAGTATCTTTATATTAGCCCCTCACAGCACCCTTGTGAGGTAGTCAAAGCACTACCACCCCCATTTTACAGATGAGGAACTGAGGCACAGAATCTAAATAGCCTACAGAAATTCACATTGGAAGTCTTTTTGGCAGATTAAGAAACTGAACTTGGATCTCCTGAGTTCCTGACTACTGCCCTAAACAATGGATCATCCTCCCTCATTTCCTCTGTTTGCCATCTTAGCAGAGAGTAAGTGCTGTCAGGTGCCTGCAGTACTGCTTTTGCCACCACTACCTGTCAGTCATTGCTCAGAGCAGCTTCTTGTCCCTCCTGTTAACACTGCTGCCTCAATGTTTCTCAGAGCAGCAGCTTCTCTCCTCTTCTGGTTGCTGATCTGATAAAAGGCAGCAGTGCAAGGGGGAGTAGTAGTAGTTCTGAGTAGCAGTGGCTAGAGCAGAAATTGACCTTGCATGGATGCAAGAAGGAATTGACATATGAGGGTTTAAAGTAGAACATCTTCTGAGCCATACTTTCTACCTGTATGTAGTTTGGAGTGGTTGGTGAGAGAGCCAAAGTCTTTTATGTTGACTGGCTGATATATTCACCCATGACCACAAAGGTTCTGGGCCCATGTTGCTTATTGAAAGAAGTGCATCTCTGTATCTTTTGTTAAATTTTATTAAAATAATTCAACCAAAACAAAATAAAAATCACCACTACTTAACTATTATTATTATTAAACTAAAGTAAGAATAAAGCAGTACAACTACCAAATAATATCCAATCAATGAATTAGTCTTTGCATTGGATTGGAGTTATGTCATAAAATGAGTTAAATCATCAAATTAGTTCTAGAAATAATCCTTATAAATGCTAAAGAGAATTATAGGAAGGTGCCGGTCTGAATTCTTTAGTTGGGAGTTATAACCAATGTCAATCAAATCTGGGACTTAGAACTGGTTAAAAATTCAGTACTGAAATGAAAATATCTAATAACTGACACATAGCTGAGAGCTAATTGTTTCCTTCTTAGAATTCTGTTCTTGTGTGGTGGCTAATCCTGATGGTTTCTTGGACTTCCCGTTGATTATTATAATTTGTGAACTTTGCTTACTCATCCTTGCATCATCTCCCTCCAAGGTGTATGGACAAATCAGGTGTAAGACCTACCTTGGAGCCATGCAGCAATATGGTCCAATCAGGTTTGAATTAGGTCATTAGCTTGTGTCAATTCTGGGAAAGTCCTTTTTTAAACTAGTAATTTAATTTTTAAAATATCTGGGATTTTATGTACTACAGGGACTGAAAGTCTGCCCCCTACACCTCCCCCCCCCCACCCTATCTATCTATATCTATCTATCTATCGATCTATCGAATATATGAATGGTGGACATTAAACCACGTGAGGAAGCTGGCATGGTCTTATCTAGGCAAAAGGTCTTTGTGCCATGTCATCAGTTGATGGAAAATGTATTATGAAAAATGCTATAAAAGTAGCTGATTTAAAAAAAACCCAACAGCTTAGTAACTAAATTAAAAATAAAGAAAATCTTATGACCAATATTGCCACTGTTTTCACAAACAAGACAATTTACAGTAATACTTGGAACGGGGCTATAGGTCATGTAGCTTGCCTTTTGAAAGTTTCATCTTGACACAGGGAAGTTACTTTAAAGCATCTCAAGATGAAACTCACTTTAAATATAAGATGTTCAATTTTATATAGGGTCTGCATTCTGATATTTCTTCTTCTGTTTTTCTCACACCTGGATCTCAACCTTGTTCCTTAGCTTATAAAGTCAGTTGCTCGGGAACAACACAGTGCTGCAACTCTGTTTCCTTAAGCAGGGATTCAGCTGGCGCTGCAGAGGGGATTTTCTTGTCTAGGTCAAGTGAAGAGCATGTGATCACAAGGATCCTGCAGAATTTAAAGTGCTTACGTTGCATTTTTTATCCAAAGATCTCAAAGCACTTTACAAATGTGGATAAGTATTCCCCTTTCACAGAAAGGAAGACTCTGGCACAGATATTGTCATGCAAGGAGCCTGTTACCTAGATAGAAACAAAACTGAGGCTTCCGATTTTCCGGTTTCTTGCTGTAATCACTAGACAAGTGTAAAAGGTAACAGAATCAAAACAAAAGGACTGTAAGAAAAGGATTATACAATATTAAAACTATTTTTATTTGCATGTCAATATTTAAATTTTTTTCTTAAGTTTTAATGCTTTAATATATGTTTTAAAAGAAATACAGATCAGCTGTGAATGAGCAAGCTGTTTTGCAATTATTAAATATAATTTATCCACAATCTAAACTATTGATTCTTCCACTTTTATTTCTCAGATATAGTGAGAATATTACAGATTTGATGAACAAGTGCTTTCCTGAGACAGAAAAACCAGGTAGGAAGAGCTTTTAAAAATATTAGTACTTGGGGTTTTATTCTATTAGACAAACATTTAATCCTTAGTCTCTCAAAAAATATAAAGCACATTGAAATAAAGCATTAATGATTCATTCCTCAAAGAAACCTGACTGGCCACCTCTACCATACTACAGCTAACTTTAATAGGGTTTAGGTAGATTATTCAGTTAGGCCAGGAATGCACTCACAGCATATCTGAAATTCCCATTTTCATGTGGCAATAACTACTTTAATATTTGGGTATGTGTAGTAATTTCTTCTGTATTGAGTTGAATACAAACACAGACAGATGACACTTCAGCTGCTTGGAAAGATTGAGTGGGTGTCAGATTGTTGTCAGCATGTAGTCCATCTGGGAGAGGTGTCTCTGATATTCTGTTCCTCCTATCGCCTCTCTGGCTATATCTGCACTTGCAGCTAGGAGGTGTGATTCCCAGCATGGATGGACAGACTCATGCTAGCTTAGTTTGAGCTAGCATGCTAAAAATAGCAGTGTGGATGTTGCAGCAACCATAGCGGCTTGGGCCAGGCCACGTTGTTGGCTGGGTTGCACCTAGGTGGTAGTGTTCACTGCTATTTTTAGCATGCTAATGCGAGTCTGTCTACTCTGTCATACTTCCCAGCTGCTGTGCAGACATACCCTTTAAGTTCTCCCCAGTGACTAGAGCCAGAAGCTGCCTCTGCTTCTGCCTTCCCAAACAGCAGTAAAGTGAAACTGACCAATGTTTTGAATAGCAGTAATTAAATTTACAAGACAGGTAAGTTTTCTTTCGGTTATAGGAAAGGTGTGAACAGTAGCAGTCACTAGTTTAGTCTGCAGACTGGAAGATAGCATTGCTCTGGCTCGCACTCATTTCTAGTTGGAAACATCTTCACAACTGTAAGGGTTAGAAATTAATTATTTTTAATAAATTTAGAGTCTAAAGAAACACTTGTCTGGGAAAGCTTGTGACTCGCCATATGAGAGTTGGCTAGCAGATTTTCAAAGTCCTGACATTAACTATACATGCTTTTTTGCAGAAATTAGAAATGGAAAAATTCTCTTGGGTCACCCAATCCTAATTGTCAATACAAGATTGTTTCATGCTTATTAGTATTTTAGCAAATATAGTTTTAAAGGTGAAATGATGAAAAGTCCCTGCGTTTGATTAAAATAAAATACATGAAAAATAGTTTCTCCTTAACTTACCTGGCAAAGTTCTGGGCTCAGGCTCTTATTTCACCTGTAGTAGATCATCTTAAATGCAGGGAAGAAATATCAGTGAATAAAAGGCTCACTGTAGAGGAGATAAGCATATTCAAAAATAGTTTTTAAAGGCTGAATATTTCCTTCATTGTAATGAATGTAGAAAAGTGGTGCTGTGATAATTTGTTAATGAGCCCTGGGATGATTTTTTTCTTATTTCTAAAATATGCTGTATTAAACAGCTATAATTATGTTTAAATATCCATATCAAAGAATCCCAAAAAGGGTGTATACATAATTCTCACATTTTTTGGTAAAACCTATTGATTACCAACTGCTTTAAATAGAAATTAATTTTATGTACCATTCCCTCAGATGAAATAGCCAAGTACATGGAAAAGGTGAAGTTATTGAGCTATGAAGAGAAACCTCTTTATCAGCATTTCCGAGAAATACTTTTGCAAGGTCTTAAGGCTATTGGGCAAAAGGATGATGGCATACTGGACTTCAGTTTTTCAGAGAATGGAGATTTGCGAACCAAGCCTGTACAAAAGGTTGTTTCTTTTTACTTTTAAAATCAGCTTTTAATGGATCTAGTTTTAAACTAAATAAAAGAATTAAATAAAATTATATGGAAAATGGATGTCATAATTAGCCCAAATAGGAAAGTAAGGAAAAAGGAAAGTAAGTCTCAACTGTTTGTTAGCTTTACAGCATATTTCATAAGCAGACACATGGGCTAATTTTAATTTAACTAATTGCTCTGAAAGTTTTTAATATAGCACAATGTTAGCAGGTATACTTTCACATGCAGTAAATAATACCTTGGGAAAGAGAATGTATATTTAGTTGTAATGACATTTGAACAGATGAACATTGCAGTTAATTTACACATTTTTTTTTTTTCCCAAGAGTCTAAAAAATTCCAGATGGGCCAAAGTGTGAGGTAAAATCAGAAGTCTAGTTACCTTTTGGTTTCATTTCAGGTTTCTTACCTTACATAACTATACCTAAATACTTACTTTTAAATGAACATCCTTATGTCATCAATTTGCTACTGAAATTCAGGTATTGTGTACAGTATTATTATTTGTATTATCGTAGCACCTAGGAGACCCAGCCATGGACCAGGACCCCATTGTGCTAGGCACTGAACAAAAAGGTGTTCTTCACAATTAGTATAGTACTAGATTAGGGGTATATTAATCTCTTTATTTAGGCTTGGCAGATGTTTTTACTATAATTTTGATGTATAATAGCAATGCTTGTTTTTAAGTATTTATTTTATCAATTTAAATTTTCACAGTTGGGAAATTGACGGGGGGCAGACAATTATTTAATGACAGTAGATATTGAGATTCAGCAAGTTAGCTTTATAACTATTAAAATACAAATTGTCAGCATCACATGTCAGAAGATACAAACTCTTAAGTTCTCAAGCAACATTTTTCTTTGCCTATCTGTACATTTAGATTATCAATGGAAATATTTTTTGTTGGTTTGTATGTGTATGATGAAATGGATGTTTACCGACAAAAATCTAATACTTCCAGAGGTACTTGTATTTAAGTAGACCGAACTCTAAATTGTCTCTCACATATGGAACCTTGTGCAGAACATTTGCACAAGTAGCTCTTTGCAATTAGTAAAATGTACAATCATACTTACACCATGGAGGAGATTTTATAATTCACACATTTCAGAAAAGGATCCTAGCATATTAACTTTATAGGTAAATACTGATTTCCCATTGTCAGTATGCAACTGCTTGTGTGGAGTCTGTGTGGATGTTTATACAGAAGAAACATATGCTAGTGGGACCTGTTCTTAGTGAAAGCTATAGTACTATACATATGCAGAAAACCCTCTAGCAAATTTATTTACAGATGTAAATTTCATCATTTCATGAAAACTGCTCCCTAATTTTTTGGGGAAAAGTTAAAATGTGGAATATGTTATGAAGAATGATACTGAGGCATTAATATAACTAAAATTTAAGCTAGGTAACCAAATAAGCATTACTGTTACTGCCTGTATAGGACAAAACTTGGTAGACAAAGGCAAGTAACTGGGAGACAGACATTTTAGACTTGATCCTCACTAACAGGGAGGAATTGGTTGTGAAGTTGAAGGCAATGTGGGTGAAACTGATCATGAAATAATAGATGTAAAAATTCTAAGGAAAGAAAGGAGTGAGAGAAGCAGAATAGGGACAATGAACTTCAAAAAAGCAGACTTCAACAACTCAGAGGTATGTACATAGGTATGTAAGGTACTATGGGAAGAAAATCTGAGGGATAAAGTAGTTGAGAAGATCTGGCAGTTTCTCAAGGAGATTATTAAATGTGCAACAGCAAACTATTCCAGGCAAAAGAAAGATAATAAGAGGCCAATATGGCTCCTTTAGGAGCTCTTTAATCATCAGAAAGGAGTCCTACAAAATGTGGAAACATGGACAAATTGCTTAAGAATACAAAAGAATAGCACAAGCATGTAGTGATAAAATCAGAAAGGCTGAGGCTCAAAATGAGTTACATCTAGCAAGGGACATAAGACACTAAGAAGAGGGGGTCATAGAATCATAGAATATCAGGGTTGGAAGGGACCTCAGGAGGTCATCTAGCTCTGCTCAAAGCAGGATCAATCCCCAGACAGATTTTTGCCCCAGATCCCTAAGTGGTCCCCTCAAGGATTGAACTCACAACCCTGGGTTTAGCAGGCTAGTGCTCAAACCACTGAGCTATCCCTCCCCTCCAATAGATATATTAGGAGCAAGGGAAAGACAGGAAAGTGTAGGTCCTGTATTTAGTGGGGAAGGAGAGCTAATAATGGATGACATCATGAAAGCTGAGGTGTTTAATGCCTATTTTGCTTCTCTCTTCACTAAAAAGGCTAGTGGTGACCGGATACTCAGCACAGTACTAACAACAGTGGGGAAGGAATTCAACCCAAAATAGGGAACAAACAGGTTTAAGTGTATTTAGATAAATGAGATATATTGAAGTTGGCAGGGCCTGATGAAAATCACCCTGTGATACTTAGGGAACAAGCTGAAACAATCTTGGACTGTTAGCAGTTATCTTTGAGAACTCATGGAGGGTAGGTAAGATCCCAGAGGACTGGAGAAGGGCATACATAATACCGCTCTTTAAAAGGGGAACAAAGAAGGCCCACGGAATTATAGGCCAGTCATCCTAGCTTTGGTACCTGTTAAGTTACTGGAACAGATCAGATGCTTACAGATGGATTGTTTAATAGAAGATAATTGGGTTATATGTAATAGCCAACATGGATTTGTCGAGAATGAATCACGCCAAACCAACCTAATTTCCTTCTTTGACAGGGTTATAGCCTGGGTGGGGGGAGCAGTAAACGTATATCTTGATTTAATAAGGCTTTTGACACAGTCCCATGTGACATTCTCATTAGCCAATGTGGCCACAACTATTTCACATTTGGAGACAATATATACCTTCAAGTCAGCGGCACTGCTATGGGTACCCGCATGGTCCCATAGTATGCCAACATTTTTATGGCTGACTTAGAACAACGCTTCCTTAGCTCTCATCCCCTAACGCCCCTACTCTACTTGCGTTACATTGATGACATCTTCATCATCTGGACCCATGGAAAAGAGGACCCCTTGAGGAATTCCACCATGATTTCAACAATTTCCATCCCACCATCAACCTCAGCCTAGACCAATCCACACAAGTGGTCCATTTCCTGGACACTACTGTGCTAATAAGCGATGGTCACGTAAACACCACCCTATACCGGAAACCTACTGACCGCTATACTTACCTACATGCCTCCAGCTTCCATCCAGGACGCACCACACGATCCATTGTCTACAGCCAAGCTCTAAGATATAACCGCATTTGCTCCAATCCCTCAGACAGAGACAAACACCTACAAGATCTCTATCAAGCATTCTTAAAACTACAAAACCCACCTGCTGAAGTGAAAAAACAGATTGACTGACCCAGAAGAGTACCCAGAAGTTACCTACTACAGGACAGGCCCAACAAAGAAAATAACAGAACGCCACTAGCTCTCACCTTCAGCCCCCAACTAAAACCTCTCCAGCACATCATAAAAGATCTACAACCTATCCTGAAAGATAAGAATAATAACTCTCATAGATCTTGGGAGACAGACTAGTCCTCACTTACAGACAGCCCCCCAACCTGATGCAAATACTCACCAGTAACCACACACCAAACAACAAAAACACTAACCCAGGAACCTATCCTTACAACAAAGCCTGATGCCAACTCTGTCCACATATCGATTCAAGTGACACCATCAGAGGACCTAATCACATCAGCCACGCCATCAGGGGCTTGTTCACCTGCACATCTACCAATGTGATATATGCCATCGTGTGCCAGCAATGTCCCTCTGCCATGTACATTGGCCAAACCGGACAGTCTCTATGCAAAAGAATAAATGGACACACATCTGACATCAGGAATCATAACATTCAAAAAGCAGTAGGAGAACACTTCAACCTCTCTGGTCACTCAGTATCAGACTTAAAGGTGGCAATTTTTCAACAGAAAAGCTTCAAAAACAGACTCCAACGAGAAACTGCTGAACTTGAATTAATATGCAAACTAGATACCATTAACTTTGGCTTGAATAGAGACTGGGAGTGGCTGGGTCATTACACAAATTGAATCTATTTCCCCATGTTACGTATCCTCACACCTTTTTGTCAACTGTCTGAAAGGGCCATCTTGATTATCACTACAAAAGTTTGTTTTTCTCCTGCTGATAATAGCTCATCTTAATTAATTAGCCTCTTAGAGTTGGTATGGCAGCTTCCACCTTTTCATGTTCTCTGTGTGTGTGTGTGTGTGTGTGTGTGTGTATATATATATATATATATATATATATAAAATAATCTTCTTATTATGTTCCATTCTATGCATCTGATGAAATGGACTATAGCCCACAAAAGCTTATGCTCAAATAAATGTGTTAGTCTCTAAGGTGCCACAAGTACTCCTGTTCTTTTTGTATTCAAAGAGTAGTTATCAATGGGTTTCTGTCAAACTGGAGAGAGGTAGCAGGTTAGGTCCATCAGAGGTCCATCCTTGGTCCGGTACTAGTCAATATTTTCATTAAGACTTGGATAATGGAGTGAAGAGTATGCTTATAATATTTATGCATGACACAAAACTGGGAGAGGTTGCTAGCACTTGGGAGGACAGGATTAGAATTCAAAAGGAGCCTGACAAACTGGAGAATTAGTCTGAATTCAACAAGATGAAATTCAGTAAATACAAGTTGAAAGTACTACCCTTAGGAAGGAAAATTCATATGCATAATTACAGAAAGGGGAATAACTAGTTAGGTGGGAGTAGTGAAAAGGGTCTGCGGATTATAGTGGATCACAAATTGCATAAGAGTCAATGTGATGCAGTTGTGGAAAAAGCTAATATTCTGGGCAGTATTAACGAGTTCTGTGTGTAATACCTGGCTTGTAAATGTCCTGTTTTTATTCTGTATTGGTGAGGCCTCAGCTGGAGTACTGCATCTAGTTCTG